GCCCCCTGCTGGTGGTTATATATCACTGCTGCCCCCTGCTGGTGGTTATATATCACTGCTGCCCCCTGCTGGTGGTTATATATCACTGCTACCCCCTGCTGGTGGTTATACGTCACTGCTGCCCCCTGCTGGTGGTTATACGTCACTGCTGCCCCCTGCTGGTGGTTACACATCACTGCTGCCCCCTGCTGGTGGTCATACGTCACTGCTGCCCCCTGCTGGTGGTTATACGTCACTGCTGCCCCCTGCTGGTGGTTATACGTCACTGCTGCCCCCTGCTGGTGGTTACACGTCACTGCTGCCCCCTGCTGGTGGTTACACGTCACTGCTGCCCCCTGCTGGTGGTTACACGTCACTGCTGCCCCCTGCTGGTGGTTATATATCACTGCTGCCCCCTGCTGGTGGTTACACGTCACTGCTGCCCCCTGCTGGTGGTTATATATCACTGCTACCCCCTGCTGGTGGTTATATATCACTACTGCCCCCTGCTGGTGGTTATACGTCACTGCTGCCCCCTGCTGGATGTTTAGTTTAATGTTTTATCAGCTGCAGCATGAAAACATTTGAGTTTTTAAATCAAACTTTTTGAAAACAGAAAACTTATTTTGCAACAGATTTAATTATAAAACAAACAAACAGCACTGAGCCGAAGCACGACTGAAAGAAGCTAAACCTGAGCTGTCAAAGTTTAAATGAGCAGAATGCTAACTAAAATGAACAAAAGGAAGCTAAAGGTAATGGGGTTGGGGTTAGCTAAAAGTGGCTAAAAGCAGCAGAGCAGGGCTTCAACATAAACTGGGTCCTCAGAACCAGGCTCAGCCTGTGTTCTGCAGCAGGTCCAGTCCCAGCACGGTCAGAGCCAGAACCTCCATCACAGCCTCAGGAGGTCTGTCCCAGATGTCCTTCAGGTCTGCTAGAGTCTCATCAGAGGAGCAGAGGAGCTCCACCACCCAACGCAGCTCCCCGTCCTCCTGCAGGGGGACAGGCAGGGACTCAGGGAGACGGACCTCCCTGTCCTCCTTCAGACTGTCCACCTGGAGACACACAGAGACAGGGACAGGGTTGGAGACAGATGGTTCAAACTGCTGATAGCTTTGAAAACGTTGTAAAATCTCTGAGGTTACTCCTGAGTTTGGGCTGAAAACATGAACGAACCATCAGAACCAGAACCTTCAGAGTCTCGGGACCGCAGGAGATCAGAGGACGGCGCATCACGTCCAGCAGAGCTGCACAGAACCACAGAAGTAGACGGGTCACCAACCGGACCTCATGTCTCTGAGAGAAGAAGAGCTGGAGTCTTACAGTCCACAGCGCTGACCAGCAGGTGGACAGCGTCCCTCACAGCTGTGGACACCTTGGACACATCGATCAGATCCATGAAGGACGAGACCACCTGAGACTGAGGACTCTCATCTGATCCTTTATCGCTCTGATCCAGCTGAGACCAGAAGAACAAAGGTCCATTAAAACCAGAGAACTGGACCCACCAACAGGTCTGGAGGACTGGAATGAATTCAGTCTGTGARGATGATGAAGGTCAGACATGATCTTACCATGTCCTCCAGCTGAGCCAGACCGTCCTGGACCTCCAGAACCTCCTGAAGTTTCTTCAGCAGATCATGACGAGTGGATTCTGGAAGATCTGCCAGAGGTTTAAGGAGACTCTCCTTCATCTCAATCCCTGCAGACAATCAGTGATGATGATGATGATGATGATGATGATGATGATGATGATGATGATGATGATGATGATTATGATGATGCTTCATCAGGGTTCATGATTCTAACAGGTCCAGATGTTTCCATGTTTCCACAGATGTAAAGTTCTGACCTTCTCTGATTTGCTGCAGCGTCTCAGAGTTGATGCTGTCGCTGAACAGACCTGAAAACAGATTGTTAGAAAAATATTTGAAGCAGGATCAGGGTCAGGTCTTTGGTCTCATCAGGGTCTACATCTTTAAAGGGAGTCCTGGTGTGGAACCACCAGCCCTCCAGCTGTGGTCTCCTCTGATCCTCGGCCCCTCAGAGGTCAGACAGCTGGTTGAGGTCAAAGGTCAACACAAACTGGACCTCTTTAACTCAGACCTCTGACATATAACCTCAGACCTTCGGCAGTAATAATCAAACCAAGTCCAGCAGAAGAAGAAGGACCAGCTCACCTGCTTTGTGGCTCCAGGGTTCTATTGAGATATCTACAGAACACAGAGACAGCGTTAGAGAAGAACATAAAGCTTGAAAACTGAACACAACTGCTCCTCACCCAACTTCTGGTCCTCCAGCAGGACCTCGATCAGCCCGTAAGCAAAGGTGGAATTCTTTGGGATGGTGAAGCTGGTCACTTCTTTCCTCTGGCCCTATTGGACCGGGTCAGAATCAGAACAAACATCAACTATAGATCTGCAGCAGGACCAAGGTTCTCAACCAGGAGAGTCTAACCCTAACCCTAACCAGGCTGGACAGGGCCTGGGTCATAGAGGCAACAGGTCCAGGAAGACAGCCCAGACCTACCAAGGAATTCCCAGTCCAAGGAGGATGAAGACCAGAACCCAAAACTCCAGTACCAACCAGAGCCTGAACCTCAGGTACCAACCAGAGCCTGAACCTCAGGTACCGACCAGAACCCGAACCTCAAGTACCGACCAGAACCTGAACCTCAGGCACCGACCAGAGCCTGAACCTCAGGTACCGACCAGAACCTGAACCTCAGGTACCGACCAGAGCCTGAACCTCAGGTACCGACCAGAGCCTGAACCTCAGGTACCGACCAGAGCCTGAACCTCAGG